GGGCCCTCGTAGAAGCTAGGCCAGCACTGGTCACTGAGTTTCATCCCCAACTCCTTTACTCTTCCTAACCACTTTAATTTTCCTAAATCAAACCTTACAGAAGCAAAGGTTTTTTTTTCAGCCGCTACCAATTTTATCAAGTAGCATTCATTACAAATTGCAGTCAATATAGTTTTTAATTCAGAAGAGAATTATAAGCGACTCACCCAAAATACTCCACAATGCTGTGTTGCCTAGATGTAGTGTACTGTTAGCCTACAGATTCCTCCCTACAATTCCGATCACTTGGCATACTTGGCTGTTGAAACTGTGGAGTCAAAAACATCTTTGGGGGTCAATCAGTATAGCAAGAAACTTCGTTTCTGTTACTCACCTTGAAGGCAACATTACACACAGAAAACTTAGTGGTTAATTTTCTCCATACAAGCTGCCTGAGAAATATCTTTCCACTGCCTCTGGCAGCAGGTGTTCCCCAAACTTGGAACTCAGGCCTCCCATGAATATAGAGAATGCCTACAGAATCCCTAATGAGAAAAAGTTGATTGACTCACGGATGTGGAAGCCTGCTGGCCTACTGTAGGAAACGACGGAGCCGTCATAGTTCCAGAGTATGAGTGAGTTCTGCTGAAGAACTGGGCAGCTAGGCTAAATCCCGACTCAACCTTTACTGAGAAATTTAGCCTTTCTGAGCCTCTCTCCATACTGTCTAAAAACAAAGCTCCTGAAAAGGAGACATTTTGAACCTGTCCAAACCCTAAGTCCAACTTATTGCCCCCAACTTAGAACTGAGTAGGAAATTGTCAGCGAGGGGAAGAGGAAAGACAAACAGGAAGAACCCTTTGTATTTAGAAATGTAAAGCTGCCAGTGAATGGCTTGTAGGTGACCAGATGCTCAGTCCAAGAGGAATACTGGCCTTCTTTACTTCCAGACCCTTCCTGTCTGTGCTAATGGGAGCTCCTTATACTGCCTCTGCCATCTAGGGAAACTGCCTACCCTCTCCTAGTTTGTGGGATATGTGGTGGTAAGAAGTGTGACTAGTGTTACCCTAAGAACCAGTCACATCCAACTTTCTATCAAATGGCCAGCCATGCATATAAAGCATGTACTAGTCTTTTAGGGGTTCATTGTTAAAGTCATGCATGGTGGTACACACCCCCAATTTTCCCCATTAGAGCTTACAAGACAGAAGATCATGCATTCTAAGCCAGCCTAGGCTACACAGTTTGTCTCAAATTTTAAGAAATGTTCTGATGAAATCTGCAAATGTGTATAAACATGATGGCATTTAACATAGAGGATATGAAGTGTGAGGAATGACAGCAAGCAAGGAAGAGATGAACAACGGAGTTCGGCAAAACTATGATGTGGAAGAACGAGCCTTGAATCTGTCTCCTGATTCCAGGTCTTGTTAGAAAGCTCTGCATCAAAACGTGAGACGAGGAAAGGTTTATTTGGGAAGATGGTTCTGGAGGGGCCAAGATGAGAGATTGCTGAGTGGACAGTTCATTCAGCACAGCATGTGCCAAAGCAAGACTGCTGACATCCTGAGCCACAGAGAGAGCAAGGCCAGGGCATACCCTCCCCAGGGCACACTTCCTATACTGAGGACCTCCTACAGAGTTCTACCTCAAAGGATCCATGACTTCCCAACAGAATCAAACTGTGACCACATCTTTAACACAGGCCTTTAGGAGATGCTTACCTAAACCCCAGTGAATGCCATTCCCTTTTGATTTGTAAGCATGCAGATAGGGCTTCATTCCCTTTGTTTACTCTAGTTTGGCCTTTCTATGCTACACTGGTGATAGCTTTGCTTCATGTAGTATTTGGTTAAGGCAGGGCCAATAGAAGGTACAGTTTAGATGTGGCTGTGGAAGAACTAAGTGAAGCTTGCCTCCCAGGTTTGTGGCCTATACCCAAAGAATGGAATCGTCACACTGGCATGAAGGGTTATGTGTAATTTGGGGGGAGGAACAGGAGGCAAGATCAGAATGTGTTTGAGGACATATTACATTTGACATATCACTTGGGACATCTAAATGGAGATGTACAATTGGCCTGTGGCTAGTAAAGACTAGAATTTTGAGAAATGTACTAATATTGAGCTAATGGTATTTAAAGCCACAGACTTGAGAATCACAGAATAGTAATGTTTGTAATTTCAACCTCAACCCAGCATACATGCCACATACTGACATATATGTAAGAGTTCCCAGAAGTAAATTTAGTTCCCCTTCTCTGCTTTAAAACACATTGGGGGGGGCGGGGCTGAAGAGATGGTTCAGTGGTTAAGAGCTCTTGCAGGGGACCCAGATTTAGGTTCCAGCACCCACAATGGCAGCTAACAACCATCTGTAACACCAGTTCCAGGGGATCCAATGCCCTCTTCTGACCTCCTCATGCATTGCATGCAGGTGGTGTACTTACATACATGCACCAAAAAAAAAAAAAAAACCATTCATACACATTAAATTTTTTTATTTTGCCCTCAACACAACTGATACTTTTTAACACCAATATTAGTCTCCCACACTTTGGTGAAAGTCACTGTGCTGGTTTGTCTTTGTCAACTTGACACAAACGAGAGACAACTGGCAAGAAGAATCTGATTGGCCTGTGGTCAAGTCTGTGAGCTATTAATTGCTTGTTGAGGAAGAAGGACCCAGCCCATTGTGAGTGGTGCCATCCCCCAGCAGGTGGGCCTGGATTGTGTAAGCCAGCAGAAGGAGCCAGAAGAAGCCAATAAGCAATGCTCCTCCATGGTCTCTGCTTCAGTTCCTGCCTCCAAGTTCCTACTTGAGTGCTTGTCCTGGCTTCTCTCAATGATACTGTGACCTGGCACTTGTAAACTGAAACAAACCTTTCCTCCCCAAGTTGGTTTGGGTCAGTTTTTTCTGTTGTTGTTTTATCACAACAGAAAGGAAACTAGAACACTAACCCAGGACATACTCCATAATGGCAACAAGAGATCTCAAGGCTAGTTGTGGGAATAGTACAGATAGGAAGACCACTAACAGACAACTAAGAAGCATAGTTAAGAGATCTAGGGAGAGGCGGAAAATTCTAAATAAATGTGCAGAGGCTGGGTGTGGAGGTGCCCATTGGCATACAGGCAGGCAGATTGTGAGATTGAGGCCAGCCTGGTCTACAATGGGAGTTCCAAGCCAGCTGGGGCTACAGGGAGCCCCTGTCTCACAAATACCAAAAAAAAAGATTTTTTTTTTCAGAAGTGAAGTGCCTAAATGTGTTATTTGCACCCAGGAGATTAGGTGCAATGAAAATGACCTTTGGATCGGAGACACTCTAACTGCAGAGCAGCTGAGATAAGGAGCTGGAGTAAAAGCCTCCACAGTAGAGAGAGTGGGTGGTGACAGCTGGGGGAAACTCTTAATGTTATCAAGGGGAAGAGGGAAACAGGACCTAATGCTAAGTAACAAGGAAACAGATGCAGAAAAGCAGCAAATCTGGGAAACCAAAGGGCAGGCTAGAAATCGACCTTATTTGTCTTTTATAAAGCCAGTCTCCTTGGCTCAGCTCATCAGAAGACTTACTCTTACTTCTAGAATGAGGGTTGAATAACTCTAGAATTAACAACAAAAACAGAAAATCCAAAAGGCTAAACATGGGGCTACATATCTGTGGTCCCAGTTACCCCAGAGGCTGAGGCTAGAGATCACTTTTGGTCACGCATTAGAAGTCAGTCTGAGCAATACAGCAAGGCTGGTATCAAGCAACAGTAATAAAAACGTAAAGCCAATGAAGACCTTTAAATTCAATCTGTCATGCAGTCGAAAGCGCAGGGAGCATAGGTCACAGATAACTTGGTGACGTGTTGGGACACAGCTGAGCGAAGGTGCTGGAGGCTTGAGAAGACAGTGCCACATGATTAGCCCTTTGGATCACTTCCTTTGCTGCAATTATGCAGTTAGTCCAGGACAGCGCTGTATCCCATCCACTGGTGAGCAAAAAGTCACCAAAGACTCTTACGCTTCTAGGCAACTCTGGCTTTCAATTCTGTTGCTGCAATAATCCAAGAGACGAAGCACTACAATTGGACGCTACAACTGGACGCTACAAGCAATAGCAGCCCGAGTCCTGAATTACTAAGTCTGAGCTCCCTAGGTTTTATATGAGTAAGAAATAAACTTTGTCGTGTTAATCCACTGAGATTTGGTGGATTAATTTGAAATCACAGCATAATATCTGTTGTAGTCTAATTATAATCCCTCATCAAACCTTTAGTACCTTCAAATCAGATTTTCATACTTTGAGTTCTATCTCAACACTGTTATATTTTCTTGCACAAATTATTCTAGGTTTGACCATTTGGAACATACTCATGTGATGCTTGTGTCTTTCTGACACACCTCATTATGACTATAGATTTATGGTTTTATTTTTAA